TCATAAGGCTGCTTCATTGTGTCCCATAAATTCTTATATGTTGTATTGTGATTGTTGTTTAATTATAGGCACTGTCTAAATTTTTCTTTAATTTCCTCTGTGACCCATTGGATGTTCAGAAGGTTGTTGCTCAATTTCCATGTGTTTTTGAAGTTCTTGTGGTTTCTTTTGCAATTGAACTCTAATTTCATCACACTATGGTCTGATAATATACAGGGGATAACTTCAATTCCTTTGCATTTATTTAAATATGTTCTATGAGTGAGTCTGTGGTCTATTTTGGAGAATGACCCATGTGCAGCTGAAAAGAAAGTGTATTCTGATTTTGTGGGGTGGAAGACTCTGTAAACATCTGTTAAGTACTTTTGTTCAAGAGTTTGGTTGAGTTTTAGTATATTGTGTGTATTTTTATCTAGTTGATATATCTATTTGTGACATTGGGGTACTGAGGTCCCGCACTACTGTTGTATTAGTGCTTGTTTGATTTCTCACGTCTGTTAATATTCATTTTATATACTTGGGTGCACTAGTATTTGGTGCATATACATTTATGATTGTCAACTCTTCATGTTGGATTGTTCCCTTTAGAAGGGTGCAGTGGCCTTCTTTGTTTCTCTTAATTAGTGTTACTTTGAAATCCATTTTATCAGCAAATAGGATAGCTACTCCTGCTTTTTGGTGGGTTCCTGTCACATGGAGCATTGTTTTCCACTTTTTAACTTTCAGTTTATGAGTTTAGTTTTGAATTGGGTGTTTCTCGTATGCAGCATATTGTTGGATCTTGCTTCTTGGCCCATTCTGCCAGTCTGTTTCTTTTGATTATTGAATTGATGCTATTAACATTGATGGCTATATCTGATATGTATTGACTTATCCTTGTTTTGATTATTTCTAATTGCCCCCACACACATTTAATTTCTTGTTTTGCCAGATGGATTCATTCTGTTGAGCTTCCTGGGGCTGTGACCCTCATAGTCCTTTCCTAGGATATTGTTTAAAAATTATTGGAGCACTGGTTTGGTATTCATGAAGTTCCTCAGGTGTTCTTTCTCATGAAAGTATATTATTTCTCTATTGATATTGAAAGATAATTTTGCAGGGTACATCAATCTGGGTTGGAGGTTGTTTTCCTTTAGGGCTTGAAATACATCATTCCAGGTTCTTTTTGACTTAAGGGTTTGTGTTGAGAAGTCTGCTGTGATTCTGATGGGCTTTTGTATGTTATTTGTTTCTTTTGTCCAACTGCTTGCAATATTTTGTTCTTTGATCAGGTTTCTAGAATCTTGACTGTTATACGCCTAGATGTAGAATATTTTTAATCATAGCTAGTTGGATTCCTATATGCCTCACTTATCTGTATGTGAAAATCTTTCTGCCTGCTTGGGAAGTTTTCTGCAATTACTTCTGTGAACAGTTTTTTTAATGCTGTTTGCACTTTCTCCTGTTTCTTCATTGACTCAGATCAGTCTTATGTTATTCTTCTTTTCATCGTCTACCAGCTGCTGGACTGGTTTATCATGGTCCCTTACTTTTTTTTAAGAAATCTTTCTTTTCCTGGTCATTAATTGCAATCCTGTCTTCCATATCTGATATTTTGTCCTCACATTGGCTCATTCTGCTGCATAAACTTTCAGTGGAGTTTTTAATCTTCTGGATATCTTTTTGAATCTGTTTTATGGATTCTATTTCTTTCCTATGCTGGGATTCCATTATGTTCCTAAGCTCCTCTATTTTTTTTATCTGTGTCTGCTCTGGAGTTATTACTCATGTCTTTCGCTATAGACACCACCTCTGTTGTTATCTGAGAAATTATTTCTTATTTTATTTTTTTCCAGATCTTCTTTCTTTGCCATTTCAGGGAGTCCAGGTGGTTGAGTTTCAGATTGTTCCATCTTGTTGCCCCTTGGAATGACCTTTGGTGATCTGAAAGTCTGGTTTTGAGTCTTGTTTAGGTGTCTTCTCATTTCTGTTTTTTTGTTGTTGTTGATGATGCTTTTGATTTAATTCCTGGGTTGCTGCTTGTAAAATGCTTATTACAAGTATTTTTATTACCAGTATTTAGAACCCTTAGGGAATGGTTACTTCATGGATTATCTTCCAGGTTTAGTTGGCCTCTGGGTTTTGAGTCTGTAATGGCCCTTATGTAATCTCATTCTTGGTATACCAGCAAGGACAACTTACTAGAATAATCACATCACAGTGGCCAAAGTAATACCATCAGCATCAACAGTACCATCAAACACAGCCTAGAAAATGACAAATTTTGCTACCTATTAATCTACCACTTTTAATCACATGAACCTGACTTGTGGTTATATATCAAAATTTAGAACCAACCAGAAATATATATGCAGTAAATGAGCCCTTCAGTATAGCAAATTTGCTCTTAGGGGGCCTTTGGAAGGTGTTGGAAGGGTAGAGAAATCGAAGGAGAGGAAAAGATTAGAAGTAAGGTTAAAGGACACAGGAAGATCATGTGAACTTTGGGAAACTGGTGAAGACAGAAGGAAAAGAGAGAAGGAAGGAACAGAAACAAGAAAAGAACAAACTGACAGCCACAGAAAAACCAAAAATTGTATCCTCACTCCTTTAAAAATAAGAACAGCTGAGTAAAAACAGGACAAAAACAGTAATAAGAAAAGTGAGAAATGAAGAAGGAGAATAGAAAAGAAAAAAGAAGTCCCCTTCAAAGGATGTCTCTGCTGTTCCCGGTGGACAAAGTGGGTAGTGTACAGATCTGTGTCAACTGATCTCAGTGAGCCAGCCATAGTTTGCTCAAGTCAGGCTGATTTCTGGCTGCAAGGGTGAAATTGAGCTCCCTGACCTCCTTTGGGTTTGAACTCTCCACTACTCTGAACTACTGCAGGTTTGATCTCCCTTTCCTCTGCAACAAGTCTGATTCCAGTAGGATCTGTTGACCCTAACAACTCACCACCCACTGTATTTATTGAGCTGACTCTTTGCTCTCCCAGTGGTCTTTAATTCTCAAAAAACCTCAGAGAGGCCTTCTTTCTACTGCTCACCACTGTGCCAATTCCTGTGCTCATAATGGTGACCTTCTGGATCCCCATGCTGCACTGTTGTCCAGGTGGGCCTCTGACTGGGGCCTATACACCCTTTCTGATGGTATCTCTCTTGCATCAAGTTTCTATATTTGGCTAAGACTGACTTTTGACAATTTGACTGGGTTCATCCAAGTTAAGGTTTTTTGTTTTGTTTTTGTTTTTTGAAATAAATGTCATTTTCTTTCTCAGAGTTGGAAGATTTTTGAGCACCATAATGCATATATTTCTTTATGGTATCTCATTACTCTCAGATTTTCTTCACATTTCTTTGCTCTTTTCCTCCTCTGTATTAATGATTTTGAATTCCAAGCCTTTAAGTTTACTGAATTTTTTCTTTCATTTGATTAATCTGCTTTTGAACTCCTGTAATGAATAGTCAATATACTTATTTTATTTTTTAGCTATAGAATTTCTGTTTGGTACTTTTTTCCTACCTCTTTATTGATATCTTTCTGTTGCTTATGAATTGCTCTTCTGATTTCATTGAGTTGTATGTGTTCAGTTGTAGCATAATGAATATCTTTAAAATAAATATTGTGAGATTTTAGCAAAGAATGCATAGATCACTATTTTTTTATTACTTCAGTTTTCTCTGTATTTCTGTTTGTTTTTCTCTTCTATTGTTAACTTCTTAAAATGAAGCATAGATTATTAAATATATGCCTACTTTATTTTCATTTACACACTTATATATTTAATATTTACTCAATCATGACAATATATATTTAGAGAATTTGTTCAGTTTAAAATGGGTGAAATTTTGTAAAGTCCTGAGTTTGATTCCCAGTACAAAAAAAAAAAAAAGTAAACTTGATGAAATTTAAATGACATATAAGTATATTAAATAATAGAGAGATGAAAGAGAAATAAAAGAGAAATGAAGATAAATTCCAATAATTTTAAATATTTAAGTATAAAATGTGAAAGAACTAACTAAGTTGGTATAATAAAACTGCTTATCCTCTGGTTCTCAGTAGCAGGAAGCTTAAACAGTCTTAGGATAATGAGAAAGGAAATTAAAAACTTTAAGTTTTGACCACATGTGTTATGCTTGTTACTTACCTATTATACAGGGTGTTTGAATTTATGAATGATATTTAAAGTAGTAATTAGGAGCCATTTACATGAACAGATCAATATTTCAATATTACTGGCTCCAAACTAATAGTCTTATAAAAATGAAAGAATCAGAAATCAAGAAATATGTAGTATAATCTTAATGGTAAAACTAAATTGTGACATCTTAGAAAGTTACAGATTGGTAGGACAGACAGTACTTGTTTTAAACAAACATATTACTGGGCCGGAGATTTAGCTCAGTGGTTCTGCCGCTGCCTCCCTTGCAAGTGCAAGGTCCTAAGTTTGATCCCCGGTACCAAAGAAAAAAAGAAAAAAAATTACTAAGTTTCTCATGAGCACAAAATATAAAATTTTGTCATTACCCTTTTACAAAAGTGGATAGCTTCAATGAGAGTATTGGAATATATAACAAGAGCACCTGTAAGACAGAGCACATGTAAAATGTTTTTTTGTCATGGAAAATTATGGTTTCTGAATACAGAATTTGCCGGTAAGATAAAACATGATATAAAATGGAAATTTTTGACAAACAAAATCATGCACTATTATCAGTATGATGTATAAGTGTAGGCTACTTTGGATAAAGTAATAAAATAATGCTTCCTATGTTGTGTATTTTCTTAGATATATCCTTAATGTTCTTAAAATCTATGATAAATATGTGTCTTTTTTTGCGCCATAAAACCTGCAATTGCTTAGCTCACTTGTAAATCTCTGGCTTTAGTATTAGTGAATTCCAATTTTATTTTAGACCTTGATGTACTTGCTATGAGTGTGAGCGTTTAATGTGGACTGGGTGGCCCTAGAACAGCATGGAATTCTAACTGAGGGATGTTGGGGTTTTGTCTCCCCCAGGTGCTCCAAGTGACCAGAGCAGTGGCACCTCCTCCCCTCTTTGTGACAGTGGCTTGCATCTTAACTATCATCCCAACAACACAGTAAGATGTCCCAGGCATAGTTCTGATTAATAAGGAGATAACACAATGAAAAGCTATGAAGTTATATAGAGGTGTATTTATAGTTTGTAAAAACTGCTACTGTATTTATTCTAATGTGTCTGCTAGCCATGAAAATCAACAAGTGCTTTGTCATTTAAGCAGTAAAATAAGCCTGAAGGAAAAAATAGTGACTTGTTATTTTTATTTTATTTTTCTCTTTGAGGTCTGTCCACATTAACCCTTTTATAAGCTATAGATACTTTTAATTTGAAGAAGTTATAAATAATATCACACAATCATTTTAGAACATTCCATTTATATGTAATTTCATGCTCTACCTTATTTGACACAATTTTTATCATTTTTTATTTAGATAAAAGTAGCTATCATTTGTTATGATTTGTTAGCAATCTATGCATACCAGGGAATTGCTACAAATTGAGAAAATCTTATCTACTCATTATTGTGAAATGTGGTAACTGTTAAATGATATATATATATATTTCATAGAATATAAAATTAACATGTTGTTTTACAGACATTTAAAACAATTTTTAATGTTTATTTTCCACTTGTATATTGGGATAAATAGGTATTTCTCCTATAATTATGTCTGAAATGCACACATTTTAAAGATGAAAAGAATTCTTTTTGTTTATGTAGATCTAGCAATGGTCCACTCTGCTCTCAAACATGAAGAGTAGCACAGCTGACCTTAAGGAGAGTTTTATTTTTCTGTTCCATGTATTAAAATGTGCAAAGCTTACAGTTTCTTCTGACTTTTATGACTAATACACCATTTGAAATTCTTGACCTAAATATGGTGTTTTATTTCAAAAGTCTCCTTTTAAACATCCTTGAGCTAGCACTGTGCCCTAGTTGAGTACTTTAGGTCCTCAAGTTGTTTGCTTTTTTTCCTTATAGAGAAGAACATTTGGTGAAATCAAAGGTTATTGATAGAAATGTAAAGATATTTTATAAAACCAACCACATCTAGATATATTTCATCTAATCTTTTAAATTTTATGTATCAGAGGAATAACTGTCTCATAATAATATTTAAAACACTGATCTTCTGAAGCTGGCAAGATATGAGTCATGTTAAGCCTTAGTTTCCTAATGAGAAAGAATATAAGTATTAACAGTTCTGTCAGCAAATTCCACAATTCCAGAGACTTCTTACATTGACCAGCCTTTTTTTTTTTTTTTTTCCATGCAAGGCATTAAATCCAGGGCCTTGTGCATGATGGCAAGTGCTCTTTTCCTGAACTAGAACTCCAAAGCCATTTACTTTAATCTGTTATCTTTCATAATTGCTTTGCTCACCTTGTACATAGATGCCCTTTATGCTTTAGATGTCCTTTCCACTCCCCTCTCCCCTACTGGTGCACCAGCGCCAGATGCTGTGAATGTTAATACCCTTATTCACATCCTCCTTCCCCTTTTTATGAAGCTTTTTTGCCAGGTCTGAGGCTGCTGAACTTCCCACCAAATGTGTAGTGTGCCTTGGCTGTGGGAGGACAGTAGTTGATCTCTCCAGGTCATCTGCTGATGAGCCTAGGGCTTCCTTCAGGAAGCTGCATCTTTACCCAGAGTGTTGGTCTCTTCAGCCTGGCCTCCTTCAGTCTGCAGGCTTCTTCTGACAAATTTCCATGTCATTCACACAAACATCGCCATCTCAGCTGTGTTCCTCAAACAAAAAAAGAGCAAATTTATGTCAGAGTGGAAGAAAGCTGGTTGGTGTTATTCTTAATCTAGATCTTATCCAGTATGATTTGAACTCTATAATAAAAAGCAGAGAAGTCAGAATAAAAGGGATGAAATCATCCTGGCTTGCTTTTAATTCATTTTACTGTCATACACACACAAAACTATAGAATAATTTCATCCTATAGAATGCCATATTTAGACCAAGAAAAACTAATTTTATAGCACGATTGTTCCAAATGTATCCAGTTGTATAAAATTCAAAACACCATATTTTTTTCAAACTGGAGCTACGTTTATCCATTTCCAAGAGGCATATTTTGTCCTCCTTTTTAGAATTAAGATTGAACTTTCTTCTGACAGTGCTGAAGATGTTTCAGTGTATGGAAATGAAAGGTACTTACAATATTTTAGAGGATAAGAATTGAGACATATAAATTCAAATAAGGTACATTTATTAGTTCAATGAATATGAATTGGATGTGTTTTGGTAAGAATTTACTATATGGAAAAACTTTTCTAGGTATCTTGAGAATCAATTAATTATGAATCCTGACCCCCAAAATTAAATATCTAAATCTATAGACAAATCCATAAGAGTAATTTTAATAAATCAATGGCCATCAGCATTTAAATAGCAGACGGTGGTTACAGACAATATGAAAACCAGACATAGTTCAATTCAAGAAGTTTAGAGACTACAACAGGAGTGGTGATATATACCTGTATTATGAGCACCTTGAGAGGCTGGGGCAGGAGAATCCCAAGTTCAACTCCAGCCTTCGCAAGTTAGAGGCTTAGTGAAAACCTGTCTCAAAATAAGAAAATAAAAAAATAAAAAGGGCTGATATTGCTCAATATGAAGGGTCCTGTACTAAACAAAAAGAAAAACAAAAAAGTTGAGTGTACATACCAAATGTATGTTCTGCTGATCACAAGAGAATATTCATCTTTGATCTCAATCAGATCATGCCTATTTATATAGTCATGCTACCCCATTTTTATCTTGAATAAGCTTTGATGTAGAAGTGGAGGAGAGAGAATAACTTTACTCAGAGATTTACAAAATGTATTATGAAGCAAAATGTTTATTGATACATTTTAGATATCCATAATGATAACACTCATCATAGGGAATTTACACCTGTACATGATACATCATGTACAAAATTAAGAGAGGATAAAGTCATGTTTTTTTTCTGAAATATCAATGAACAGTGGGCACTTGGAAGAATGTGTGCATTATGAAGAATATTTTCCACAGAAGATTTGCTAATTACAGACGCTTGATCTCCCTAAAACAAACATTGGACTCCACAGAATATCTAATCCAAAATTCTGTTCTGGGCCTAAGAATTCCATTTTTACTTTAGGAAAGGTTGTAAATTAAAAGTATAGAGTATATAAAAGCAAAAGTTGCACAAACTCCATTTTTAATACCTGTGCTTTAATTATACTCTAATGTGAAATTTGAGTTAGTAGGGACAGTTTTGGTTTTTTGAAACATCCTTAATATATTTTATGGAAGCATTTTGAGTTTCAGAGAAAAAAAAAGCCTTAAAATATATTAGAATCACTTTACCATTCCACATAAAAATATATTCCATTCCTTCTAAGGACTGGAGGTTGGCAATTTTAGGGAGTACAAGAGTTACCTGTTTTTGACAACCAGGGCACAAACACTGGATGCTCCAGCTCAGACCCACTGAATCTGCTTCCTCTGACATACAGTAAAGGGAATTGTTTTGGAGACTCTAATTCAGATGATCAGTCAACCAATTTCTGAAAAACATTTTATTTTGTTGTTTACTTCTACGAAATACTTTGTATGCCAAGTTCTGAATAAAATCTGGATCAGCGTTTTGCCCTGCATCCAGTTCTATTTTGGTAAAATGGCAATTCTTGAGGTTTTTGTGTGGCTTGTGTTAAGTTTAGGGACAGTCTATTTTCAAACAAGCGGTATGCAAAAGTCCCTAAAACTTTTCAGTCACACCATTAACAATTTTAGGAAACAATATTATTGACATTGTAATTTTCTTAAAAAATTATTATAATTTTCAAAATCATAAGATGGTTCCATTTCCAGATTATCTTTTATACAATTCTAAACAACTACAGTATTACAAAAAAGGCCAGAAAGCAAATTTTTATTTGTTTTTATAATTAATATAAATCAGTATAAATAACCTTTAAAGGATATTAGGTAATTCACTCTAAATAACTGCTCTATAATATAAAATGTATCAAGCCAGATTATTTCAATAGCCGATTATATCTATTTCGTATTTCTATTGAGGAGGAAGCATAAAAGAAAGTGACACATTTACAACATTGATGCATAAAAACATCAAATCAAGCTGTTAAAAATAAATATCAAAGGGCCTAAGTATTTTCATATCTACCAATCTATGACATCTATCGATATTATTTTTGAAATGTCATACCTACCTATTGGTGATTGTCCTTATTCTCAGTTTGATTATCTGTGTCTATTATATTTTTTATTCATGGAACCTGACTAATTCTTATCTTTTGTAAGACATGAGAAACCATCTTTAACTAAGTAATTTGCCAAAACTTATGCATCAAAAATATTAAATACTTAACTGAAAAATCTGAATTAGTCTCTCATTTCAGCTCTGATTTTGAATGTTAAATTATGTGCTATAATACAGTTTTGGTTGCAGAATCAGAGGCAGGTTGGTTTGAGTGAATATTAGAGCTACCCTTAGCTGGTTGGATGTCTCCGTGGTTTTGCTGCAGAACCTCCAGGAATGAGCATGCGTACATTGTCCTGGGCATGAGTTTCAGGTGTGCATTGGGCTGGGCTGTGCTATAAGGTACATCATGTATTGCACAACTATTCCAACTAAAACAAAGAGCTGACCCTACATCATGGGCTGCCCACCCATGACATCTGACACAAGGCCAGTAGGAAGACTGACATGTGGCTATTCCCTCACAGGAATCGATTTGATTTGCCTCACAGCTTTTTTTCCTTCTGTCCCTTCTTGGAGAAAATGGAAGTCATATCTCCTTGCTTCTACAAAACAGCTGTTGGTTTTTCCCTATGCAAAATGATATATTTTTGTGAGGGGTTTAAGTAATGCATTATAAGCAAGTTAGTATAGCTAAAGATTATAAGCAGTAGTAGTCCCAATACTGCTAGAATGAGTAAGGATTTCCTTCCTGGAAGTTCATGTTTAAAATAGTTTTGTCCATTTTTCAAACTTATTATTGTTAAATATGTTACATAGTCAGTGTTTACTTCCTCCTATCAAGTGATGTTTCCATCTTTTCTGCTGTTATTAGTAAATGTAACATTTCCATTACAGTTTTTTGAGATATTGAAAATACCATGAAGCTCAGTGTTGAGTATATTGTAAGCATTTCCTCATTTATTTCAGATTATAATCTTACTAGTCACTGCTATTATTATTCCCACTTTGAAAATAGATACAGCAAGACACAGTAACTTGAAATAACTTGACTGTAGGTTAATGGACTCATCAATTGAAGAATTGGGGTTCAAACCTGGATGGTCTCACCACTTTGTTACACTGCTACCCAACCATCCCCATGTCACATGCTGACCACCTATGTCATCAACAATGAAGAAAAGATGCCACATTACCTACTGTCATCTACCACATGCACCATGAAGAGCTAACCACTCATGACAACTGATCTAAACACTAACCTCACATCACACACTGACAACTGTCACAGCTTACACGAGGGCATTCGAAAGACCAATGTGAAACTTTGCTTTGAGTCTTTGTAACCAGCAGATAAGCATAGGGAAGAGTGGTCTCTCGCCAAAGGACCTGTGCTCAATGAGTCACAAGCAGGGCCCTTCTTTGGTGCTCTTAGTCCAACTTTCCAAATATTTCACACTATTTCATGGACTTGGTACATTTTAACCATTTTCTTCCTAACCCACTTAAATAGATACTGGAGGTACTACTTAATAATATTTTGACAACAAAGTTTCAAATGTGGATTAAAATGAAGTCTTCTTAACACCATCTTTAAAAATCAGTAAACAGAGAGGAAACAAAGTCAACAGTTCTCTTGTGAAGCTGAACCATGACAGACTTACAACCTGTCTACTGCTACAGAAACATTTCAACAATGAAGCTGGAATAAAACATCATGTGAAAAAGCTCATTTTTTTTAAAGATACGTGTCCTCAATATTTGAGCAAGAGAAACAAACTCCTAACAACGATGAACATACATGTAATTTAACACCAACAGTAGTTGCCTTGTAAGATATGAAACAATATAAGAAAATAATGTATAACCCTTTATAAACACGAACTTCAAACATCGAGCACAGACTTCCCCAGGCAGTGTTCTGAAAGCTGTCTTATAGGAATGGCAATTCATTTAAAAATATTTGCCAGGAACTGATAAATAATAAGTACTTTTAATGGTGCTTAGCACTTCGCAGGTACTCAGAAAATGCTGCTTCTTTGAATGAACTACAGCTGATTTTTATTTTTGCTTACTGGTTCACTGCAGTTAGTTTTGCTTTCTCTCTCTCCTTCTTGAATGAGTCCAGTTCAGCCATCCTTCTTTTCTTTTTATCCCATTCTCTTCACCTCATTGTTTCCCCTGCATCCTCACTGGTGCTCTGCCTCGGAATGAATCCTCCCTGGCCTGCTCACAGAAGGACATTAGCAGTGAAATCAACACATACAATGTCAGGGTCAGTGTGGGTTTTTCCTCATAACGAGTTAAACGCCTGTAAGTCTCTAACGGTGTTCTGACCTATAGGGGTAAAAAATAATATCTCTCCAAAGGAGGAGGGTTTGTGACAGAAAGGGTAAGAAGGGCTGAATGTGCGTGTTCCTTGCAGGACACGCTGTCGTGCTCCTCCTGGCCGACCTCCCCAGGCCTGCGGTGGGAGAAGCGATGGTGCGACCTCAGGCTCATCCCGCTGCTGCATTCGCGCTTCTCACAGTACTTGGCTGGGACCGACCTGAGCCGGTGAGTGTGCTCCCTCTGCAGCCTCGGCCTGGGCTGGACCCTACTCAAACCTGGAAGTAATGTGCCCTGTCTTGCTCACTGCAGCATGTTTCTGAGAGCAGGAAGGACCGCTTCAAAGAATAGCACAGTAAAACATGTAAGAGCCCTGTGACAAAAACAATAATCCAAGTTCCATCTAACGATGCTAATGAATTCAGTGTGTGTAACGATGCAGATTTATTCGTGTATTTACTGTATTTATATTTCTTCTTGTGTTAGCTTTGGTGCGGATTTTTTTCTCAAGGAATTTTTGCTTGTTTAAATCGCAAGATTCATATTCATTCAATTGTTCATCTTATTATCTTTAAAATAAGTGTACAATCACCCAGTGATGTCCTCTTTTTCATGTCGAAATCTAAAATGATCACTACTTTTTGCTTTTTATCTTTATTGTTTGTATTCCTTGAATTCCTTAGTTTGAAGTTTTGTTTTTAGAATTTCTTGAAACAAGTTTCAAGGGTTAGGAAACTTTTCTGTGAAGAACTGCATTGTATCCATTTCTACTTAGCTCTTCCAACCACCAGGGGGAATCAGAGGCTTGGTTCAAAATAAGGTGCCTGTGCATCCCTGCTGAGACCTTGGGGAGGAACAGTGGTTTTGTCTGTTGGGAATGTGACTGGATTGTGGTAGGGATTGACCAAGGGTTTCTGGTTTTAGTTAATGCATTTCCCAGTCCTTATTTTGAGCTGCTATTTGTGACGCTGTTGCTTTTCTGGGTTGGAGCTTCCAGGGCACCCTGCCTAGGATACACGTCTTGTATACTGCCATCTTGTCAGTCCTCACTGAGGTGCCTAGCAATCAGCCCTTCTCTTACCCTTGCAGACTTCCAATACTGGTCTTTGTTGCACCCAGTGAGAGAGAACCAACCAGAGACCGATATTAAATCCACACAGGAGTTTATTAGCGCCCGGGACTGTTCCAAACATCGGACTCCAGCCTCAACTGGGGGGAAATTAACATATTTTATACACCTTTGAGGCCAGCAGTTTCTAGACTCCCCCTTTGGGCTAGAACTAGTAAAGCAAGCAAAATGTACAGAAGCAGAACATCCTGCTGTTAGAACATTTGTAAAACAATAGTTGATTAATTATTGTTTCTAAGGGATTCTAAGGAGAGGAGGTTTCTAAGCTTCCTACTTCTGAGTTCATCTAAAGGGCAGGCAGGTGGGTCTTTCAGCAGCAATATGGAGTCTGTCTTGCTAACTAGGGTCCTTCATTCCCCACTGGTTCTTGTAACTTAATCAAATCTTTGATTTCTGTATTTATTTTTCAGATTTTTCCTCTAAAACATCTTCTAAAACCTCATAATTTTGTCTCAACACCATTAGTTTACCTGTATCAACCCTGTGTCTAACATATTTAGTCAGAGCAGTTATAATGTAAGGTCCCATGAGCAAAAGCAGAAGTAAGATAACTAAGGGGCCTGCTACAGCAGAAAGTAGGGTAGTTAACCATGGGGACCAGTGAAATAGATTTTGAAACCAATTTTGATCCTTTTGTTGAGCATATTTAGTCTTTAAATTTTCCCTGACCACAGCTAAGGTATCTCTAATGACACCAGACTGATTAGCATAGAAGCAACAGGTGTTTTTTTTCTAGGGCTACACATAACCCTCCTTGTTTTATGAACAGGAGGTCAAGTCCCCTTTGATTTTGCAGGACCATTTTAGCTAGGGAATCAACATGTTTTTTTAATCTGGAGATCAAGTCTTTCAGGTGACCCAAATCTCTGGCTACTTGGTGGCTTAGGGCTTTAAAATTTGTGTCCTGAAGGATCAGGGAGGAAGTTCCAATAGTCACTGACCCAGCTATTCCTAATCCGACCAGAATGGGCACTAAAACGAGGGCAGCCCATTTACTCCTATAGTGTTTAGTGGTTAATCCCAGATGTTCGAGGCCCCCTTTTTTATTACAATACAAGACTTGTGGAACAACAAACACAGTGACACAAAATAAAGTGGCAGATTGGGTAGCCAAGACTGATTTGGGAATGTATTTAGTTAAGTCCTCGGTGCAAGCAAACCAAGCATATCAGGACCAGGTCTCCTGGCTTGAAACCATGGGGCTGGAACATCGCAAAGGTTTTTTTTTTTTTTCTTGAGCCTGTTGTTTTGTAGCCTGGATCTCACTCTGAAGAATCTGTAAGGCTTGAAGAGACTGAAGTAAAAAGACACGAGAACTCTCTGTTATCTGTTCAAGGTTTAACTTAGGGAGGAGTGGCAGCGGCCTCCCATAAAGGATTTCAAAAGGGGTAAACTTGTCAACATATGGGGTACTTCTAACTCTCAACAAGGCTAGAGGAAGCAGATCGGGCCACCTACCACCAGTTTCTAGAACATATTTAGTCAGGGTTTCTTTCAGGGTCCTATCCATCCTTTCCACTTGCCCTGAACTTTGTGGGCAATAGGCACAGTATAACTTCCAATCACTATGTAGTGCCCTATCCAAGAATTTGGATGTCTATGCCATGAAGGCAGGCCCATTGTTAGACCCCAGGTAATGAGGGATGCCAAATCGGGGAACTGTCTCCTGGAGCAAAACCTTAGTTACTATGTTGGCTGATTTTCCAGGAGTGGGGAAAGCTTTTACCCAACCTGAGTCGGTGTCAACCAATACCAGTAAATATTTGAACCTATTGCTGGATTTTATTTAGGTGAAATCAAGTTCCCAACGTTCCCCTGGCTCTGTTCCCCATAGTCGATTACCTGTGTTCCTTGGTCTCTCCTTGGAGTTTAACTGTGTACACACCTGACACCTGGAACTGATGTCCTGGACCATAGAGGTCAGTCCTGGGATTGAAAACTTAGACCACATTAGTCTTTTCAACTTTGATTTTCCCAGATGAGTTAAGTGATCTAACTGATGAACAAGTTGTTGCCCCAGGGCTTGGAGGAGACAAATTTGTTTGTTTGTTCCTTTCCACCAGCCTGAGTCCAATTTTGTACCCCCTCGCTTTTGGTTATTTTCTTTTTTTTTTTTCCAGGGTATATGTGGGTCTTTCTGGCAGGTAACCAAAGGGTTGGATAGGCAGAATGTCTATTGGCCCCACTGATTCTCTGGCCACTTGTCAGGCCACATCATCAGCCTCTCAGTTACCGTGGGCTTCAAAGCTGTCTCTTTTTTGGTAGCTTTTGTAATGAATAATGGCCAACACCATGGGTTTCTAAATTGCCTCCAGTAAGGCCAAAATTTTTTTTTGATAGTTTTCTCTTCTAATGTCAATAGCTCTCTCTGTCTGTAGATATCACCATGCACATGGGCAGTGGTGAATGCATACCAGCTGTAGATGTCTACAGCCTTGTCTTGACCTAACAGGGCTTAAGTTAAGGCTATTAGTTCAGCCCTCTGCATTGAAGTCTTTTGGCTTAGTGCCTCTGTCCAATGTACCTGTTTTTCTGGACTGACTACGGCCACCCCCACATACCTGACTCAGTCTTCCACGAAGCTGTTTCCATCAGTGAAGAAGGTCTCATCTGGGCTTTGCAGGGCAACATCAGTCAGGTCTGGGTGGTTGGTGGTGGAAGTTTTCAGAGTGTCCAGACAGTCATGGAGGCGCATATGTATGAGTCAGAGTCTGGGAGTAAGGTGGCCAGATTGAGGGTCATTTCTTGGGTGAATTTGATGCATGGAGTATCCACCAACAGGGCCTGGTACTGAGTCAGGCAGGCATTGGAGAGCCATCATTCTGGGGCTCCTCTCAGCAACGTCTCCACCACATGGGGTGCAGTGATGACCAGGTCCCATCCCAGGCTGAGCTTATCTGCCTCTTTGACCAGGAAGGCATTGGCTGCAACTGCCTTCAAATAGGTAGACCATCCACTTGCCACAGGATCAAGTCTTTTAGACAGTAGGCCACAGGTCTGTTTCAAGGCCCTAATGCCTGGGCTGGCACTCCTTTGGCTATGCCCCCTCCTTCAGCCACAGACAACCGAAAGGGCTTGGTGACATCAGGTAGGGCCAGGGCTGGTGCTGACACTAAGGCTTCCTTTAAAGCCAAAAAGGCGCTTTCTCCTTTTCTGTCTGGAGGGACTGTCTCTCATGCCTAGAGTGCAGCAATAGTGACTTTCCCCAGTTTTTTGACTAGGACTTCCTCGGGGCCATCACAGTTATCATAAACTTTCTGGGCTATGTTCAGGAGTTTAGTCCTATTCTTTCCCTCAAATCCCTCCAATTTCTGTAATTTTTTTAATGCCTGGGGTGGACCGGGAAACAAAGGCCAGATTTAAATCTGCTGCATTTTTGGCCTCCTCTGTGTCAATAGGAGTGAAAACTCTATAGGCTTCCAAGAGTCTCTCCAAAAATGCAGCCAGAGACTCCGTTTTTCCCTGGTGAACGTCACTTACTTTACTTAAATTAGTGGGCTTTCTGGCAGCTGCCCAGAGTCTCCCTAATAAGTGCTGGCAGTAGGTCCCCAGGCTCCTCTTAACATCCTCATCATTGGGGTCCCATTCAGGGTGTCACGATGGAACTACTGTTTCAGCCTTGGCTGAATGCCCCGGAGTTCCAGGAGTGATGCCGGGGTTTGGCCCCAGGGCCTCTTTGACTGTCTGTTGATAAATGCAGTCCCATTCCTCAGTGGTGAACAGGATCTGTAAAAGCTGCTGGCAGTCATCCCAGGTTGGCTGATGGGTATGAAAATCAGGCTCAAGAAGAGATTAATGCCTGAGGATTTTTCAGAGAAGGGGGGATTTTGATGTTTCCAATTGTAAAGATCACTAGTTGTAAAAGGGACATAAATCAGTCCTCCCCCGGGCTCTGTCTGTTTTAAAGGAAAAAGGGAGGAGGAAGATGGGGCTGATGGACCATAGTCCTGTCCCGATCAAGTGCCAAAGGTCGATTGGGACCTGTGGGGGCCCGACTCCCGTGACCACATTCCAAACCTTTCGAGCAATGTGCACAGAATAAGTTCCTACCAGGGGCCAACTGACTCTGAAACTTGGCCATTCTGATTGACACAGAGTT